AACGATCAATGCTGTTAGCTGTTCACAGCATTTAGGGGGATACTAGGCATCGATATAAACAATAACCCAACCGCAAGGCAAGTGCACTCCATCGCGTCCAACCCAAACCAAAAACTTCGAATTAACATCTGAATCGGCGGGGTAAAATATGTTAACTCTGATCGCAATAGTGTGAGTTTAATATAAAATTTTACAGGGTTACATCGTACCCTCTGGCCTTTCGGTTAGGAATTTGATTAACATCAAACTTAAAAAAACAAAATACAGTGATTGAGCAAAGTACATTGAACTTCACCGGGTGATGCTAAGATATCTGATTCTTTAGTTATTGGTCCCTTGTGAAATCATTATCGTAGACAATAATAAAAACTTACAATTTCCACTAATTTCACTTTGAACGTCGTAGACTTTAAGAAGTCGTTATTGATATCCCAAACTCGTCTTTGGGGAGGTCCCTGAGAATGTTCAGTGGGTGTCTCTTGAGCTCGTTGCGTCTGAAACAGCTTGTAGTGCAACACCATATCCACACCAAATGCCCCACACGATAAGAATCCAAACCCCTACCAGAGAGTAGATTTAGAAATATGGTATACTTTCTGGCCATCAAGGATTGAGAAACGTCCCACCAACCTAAATATCCACTGCAAAGGGTTAGTAATTCCAGCTTTAACTAAAGTTTCCCTAAGAGTCTGCCGGTAACTAACCCCCCCCCCCCCCGCCCCCCCGAGTAGAAAGAGGCAATGTGAGAGTAAAATGTCACGCCAAAGAATAGAGCACAGTCAGGACTCAAACCCAGACCCCTTGATGTGTAGTCCAGTAGGCTAGCCCAGAGGCCATCTTGTCTCCCATTGCACCCACATAAGAGTGTTGTGTACGTGAAGTATCCATACTTTAATCGAGGTAGAAATTTACAAATGTACATTTCTGTCAACGGGTTAAAAATTCACCTCTGATTCGCGTCTACGAACCAATTCACACTTTTTCGAAACTTACATTCTGATAAACAGAGTTCTGTGTACAAGTTCGTGCGTAAGGTATATCATTTGTGACTTGCCGTCGTAAAAAATGAGCGTGCCCCGAAATTTCCACATAATTCATTGCAATCAACGTCATTCTTCTACACCCTACGGCGTGTGCGTTCCTTCTTGATTACTTCAACCGACTGAGAGTTTGTTCTATCTCACCAAAATTGGAATTAAAGCAATCCAGCATATCGCGATAAACAATTGTCCATGTCACGAACAACCGCCTAACTTAGAGTTCTGAATTCCGCGCCGAAGCGAAAGAAAAAAAAAAGATTACATACCAGTCCTACAAACAGAGCTAGTACATTGGACTTGTAATCTGTAATCACATTTTTGTAAACCTTTCCAAATCTGACAACCTCAGGAGTCAGATTCCCACAGCAAGCAATTATCAACGAAAACAAGACAAATCCAATGATCAAAGCCTACGGAGAAAAGATAAAAAAAATTAAACCGAGATTGAAAAAAGTTCGCCCCTTCATCCCAGGCTCAATCCCCATATCAGAACATTTAAGACAAGGTTTCCTCATAGGAGTTGACGAAACCCAAGGAGCATAAAACTTATGCCATGTAAAAGTGCTGATCTATGCAAAACAAATTTGGCTATAAAGGTTACACCTGGACAAAAAAAAAATATGGTAAACTTAATAAGAAGGTTTTAATCATGTCACTGTTTGTGGACGAGGATCTTGAGAAAATTGACATTTTTCAAGTCTCACTGTTATTTACTTTTTAGTTTCGTCTTTCAAAGGCATACTCGTCCCTAATATGATCGCCTCTTTCTACCCACAGAGAACTCAAGTGCGGCCTTTTTAACCCTTTAACTCCCAAGATCTGATTGTTAATTCTCCCCTCTAGCTGCTACACATTTCCTTGTAAATTGCTTACGAAAATTTGGTGTTCAATCAAGGTAATATCTTGTACCTGATGAGTTTAAGTATTCTCATTACCTGTTTGCTGTATAATCTATGGATGTTATAGGGAGAAGTTACATTTTCATCACTTCTGAGAGTTAACGGGTTAAGACGAGCGGGGTCATTTTTCTATCAAAGAGGGGGCCATGGAAGAAAATGAAAAGACAAACCCTGCTTTCATCCTCACGTGCTCTTTCTGCGCTTCTTCGCTGATGTTTAAAGAAGTAAAATAGCTTTACACAGATTTCTTCCACAAACACTCATAATTTACCAATTCCGCTCGTTTGACGAAAAAGTATTGTGACTGTAAATACTCCTTGTTGATATCCCAGGCCTGTCTATGGGGAGATTCCTGCGCTTGTTCGGTTGTGTCTCCTGAGCTCGCTGTGTCTGAAGCAATTTGTACTGTAATACCATATCCAATGCTAACGCTATACATGACAAAAATCCAAAGACCTGCCAGGATTTAGAAAAGAGAAATTATATCTATATGGTTATTTCGACCGAGTGTCGGGGACCGAGCCGTACAAACCGATCAAAACAGAAGAAAACATCAAAAGAAGCTGATAAGAGTTAAAGAAGGTAAAAAGTAAAGGAAACCGCCAGCAGGTAGCGGTTTTCTTTAAGATATAAATATGATTGGTTTATAGCGTTGACTAATCAGAGAGTGCAATAAAGTAAGACAATGATTTTTGAGAAGTCAAATAAGAAAAAATAAATTCATGAAACCCACGCTGCCTCGTCTATACAGAGGCATTTTCTCAGATTTCCCTGAAATACTTCGGTAAGCAACCAAGGACTGAAACAACCCACAAACCTTTTGGGGTTGTCGCGTGCACTGCTAGGCTTTTATCCGACAACCTTGCTCGAAACAGCTGTATACTTAAAGTAAAAGTCTTTCCAGAATAAGCTAAAGTGGGATTCGCCGCGTGAATATTCACCACGTATTGAAACTGATTTCGATTCAATTTGTTTCCCGTCCCTTTTTTTGTGTGTGTGTGTCACCGAAGTGTCCGCGTGTACAAGAGAGTCCAAAGCCTCAATTGATGTTTAATCCTGGTTCAGTACAATACGCCCATGGGGAATCAGAAATCATATTCATCTTCGGATATTTTACATTTTATTGTAGAACTTACCAGGGCAACACTAAGGGATGCCACAAATGGTCTGTATGTGCTTGGCATAATTTTCTGGAGTTTTCCAAGGTCAACGGCCCTAGGGACCAAGTTTCCAGTACAGGCGAGCAGCAGCGCAAACATGATGAAATAAAAGACGAGAGACTGCAAAAGATAGAAAACAAATTATATATAAGAAGAATGAAAAAGATAACCATACAGGTTTAAATTAATAGAAAAATAAATGAACACATGAATGAGTGGATGAATAAATAATGAAAGACCAATAAGAAAGAATATATAAATTGATAACTAAATGATTGAAAGATCAATAGGCTAGTTTCGAATTGTTTGTGCGAGAAAGTCTGGTAACTAGTTTTGAGCACCAGTCGGGGCTGAGGGGAAAAGGAGTCGTATCGACATGGCAGATTATGATGCACTGACCAAAGATCGAACTGAGATCTATCGATTCAGCGTCCGGGGCGCTGATTGTTGGGCTATCCCAGGGAAAGATCCAGGAATTTTTGGTAGGAGGGGGGGCGGAGAACGAGGGGTGAGGGGTACCAATCTCAGAAGACACATAAATTTTCATCTTCACACCAGGGTCTAAACAAGCTGAAGAATATTTCAAGACAAGCAGATCTCAAATCCTTTATATTTAGTGTTTTTTGTTTGTTTGTTTGTTTTTTTTTTACCATCCTGTTGTTACCAGTGTCTGTCATTAACAGGGGCAAGGGGAGTAGTTCAGATCCCGAGACCCACCCCTTGGAGTCACTAGTGCCCCATTCGTCATTCAGAAAACAGGACACTCTGCATAATTATTCCTTCTGCTCACTGAGGCGGTAGGAACAGAAAATTTAAGGAAAAAGTAAAATAACGTACCAAGGCGAAACTGAGAAACACATCGTTTACGTCAAAAGGTTTGCCTTTACCATATAGCTCACGGTAACGTTTGCCAGCTTTATACAATTCGACACCGGGCATAGCCAGGCTTGTAGTACTAGCGATGAGTAGTGTGGTCATGAAGACTTGTACAACTAAAATCTGTGGGAAAGAACAGGTGGTTTTGACTGGTTAGAGCAGAAAAAGATTAGTTTTAAACAATCCATTGCCAGTAACAAAAATAAAAGAGCAACATGTCGTCTGCCGCCTAAACGTCAAAATTAAATCCTCACAACCTCGTTTCTAAGGGGGAGAAGCCTGAGAAAGAGTCAGACATCTTGAGTACAAGGCAATATATCTGCCGAGTGACCAGCTGTATTTTGTGCAGTTGGGATAGTCAAGTGTTCAACATCGAGCAAAGTTTTCACTCAAAACTCCTGCTAATCCGATATCATTCGTTAAAACCTTTTCATATCCTTTAACTACTTACAAACTCCAAAATTCTTGAGCAACCCAGCATAGTTTTTAGATGGGCTTTGTTCATCCGCCCTGCCCTAGGTTGATTCACTGGGGGCTGCACAAGGACACCAGGGCCTGGAACGGATTGGACAGGTTGTCCAGTGGGGGCATGGGCAGGTTGTCCAGTGGGGACATAGCCTTGTTGTCCAGTGGGGACATAGCCTTGTTGTCCAGTGGGGACATAGCTTTGTTATCCAGTGGGGACATAGCCTTGTTGTCCAGTGGGGACATAGCCTTGTTATCCAGTGGGGACATAGCCTTGTTGTCCAGCGGGGACATAGCCTTGTTGTCCAGTGGGGACATAGCTTTGTTATCCAGTGGGGACATAGCCTTGTTGTCCAGTGGGGACATAGCCTTGTTATCCAGTGGGGACATAGCCTTGTTGTCCAGTGGGGACATTACCTTGTTGTCCAGTGGGGACATAGCCTTGTTGTCCAGTGGGGACATAGCCTTGTTATCCAGTGGGGACATAGCCTTGTTGTCCAGTGGGGACATAGCCTTGTTGTCCAGTGGGGACATAGCCTTGTTGTCCAGTGGGGACATAGCCTTGTTATCCAGTGGGGACATAGCCTTGTTGTCCAGTGGGGACATAGCCTTGTTGTCCAGCGGGGACATAGCCTTGTTGTCCAGTGGGGACATAGCTTTGTTATCCAGTGGGGACATAGCCTTGTTGTCCAGTGGGGACATAGCCTTGTTATCCAGTGGGGACATAGCCTTGTTGTCCAGTGGGGACATTACTTTGTTGTCCAGTGGGGACATAGCCTTGTTGTCCAGTGGGGACATAGCCTTGTTGTCCAGCGGGGACATAGCCTTGTTGTCCAGTGGGGACATAGCTTTGTTATCCAGTGGGGACATAGCCTTGTTGTCCAGTGGGGACATAGCCTTGTTATCCAGTGGGGACATAGCCTTGTTGTCCAGTGGGGACATTACCTTGTTGTCCAGTGGGGACATAGCCTTGTTGTCCAGTGGGGACATAGCCTTGTTGTCCAGTGGGGACATAGCCTTGTTGTCCAGTGGGGACATAGCCTTGTTGTCCAGTGGGGACATTACCTTTTTGTCCAGCGGGGACATAGCCTTGTTGTCCAGTGGGGACATAGCCTTGTTGTCCAGTGGGGACATAGCCTTGTTGTCCAGTGGGTGAGTGTGCTCCAGACTCTGCCTGTGGCTGATCATAAGATATCTGCTGCATGACTGTCTAACTGGTCTGTCCTTGGGTTTGACTTTTGACTTCTCGCCTGTGATTGTTGAAATGATGAATTATTGCCTGAGCAAAGCTTACGTTACCTGCAGTCACGTGACTCTGTTTTGTCTATGAACTCTATTAATACTCTAATTAAGATATTTAAATATCAGTGACACTAACTGCTTCAATGGTAGCAAAAAGATGTTTAAACTTTTTAAATCAAATAGCCTTAAGAAGCAATATATATTTTATTTTCTTTTCAATCGTTTCCTTAAAATTATCATACAAAGTCAAATTATTGATTTTTTAAGGTACTCAGGTTACCATAGAGACATCTCAGACCCTTGGAAGCACCCTTCGCTACTGAGGTTACGTTTATAAAATCATATTAACTTACGTTCTACGATGGAAAAATTACTCGGTTGGATAGAAACTGAGGATTTATATAATACCATTGAAGATTTAAAAAATAATTTTTTTTGAGTCACAAATTTGAGGTCTTAATAGGTCTGCTTGATGATGAAGCAGCATTTGTGCATGTCAAGAATTTAATTTTTGCGTTGTAATTAAAATTTGCGCAAAGACTTCAGATTATTGCTGAATAACGTATCTTACAGTTAACTCTCGCCCATTTGAGACTATGCTGTCACGTACCTCCCTTAATAAGAGTAAAAAATTATGTGAACGTAACCTTCGGGTCAAGTCCAAATGGTTTGAAAGAAATGTCTCCAAGCTCCAGGAAATTGGAGATACTTCATGCTGTTGCAAACGTAAAATTTCATTTTTTAACATTTGTTGTTCAAATTAAATTGCTCACTTTGCTGTTGGTGGGCTGATTTACTGCGAAGATCACCTCTTTATGATACAAAAACCTGATCTCCAGCTCTAGACTGACCAACATGCTAACTAATGAAGAAGCGATGTTTTGAATGGGATCAGTTGTTGCATTGCACCCGTTTATCATTTTATCCTGTTAACTGCGGGACCTCGCAGCCATGGACATAAAAATGAATGAAGCTCCATTTTAGACTCCTTACCTAGAGGTTTTTAAAAAAAACGAGTTGACTTTCCTTGATATGGAGGATATATAGCATGTCTCCCAGCGCGTGATCTTTGAAGCATGCGCGCCAGGATCCGAATTGGAGTAGATTTCCTTTTGGCGAAAAACAACTTGCATTTCTATCTTCTGTACAAGAAATTCTGTTTCATTGATTTGAATAACACTCCGTTCTTGTTCATCTATAGAATGCAAATCATGTGATTCAGTATTGAGGAACACTGTCTCCTTTGTGAGAGTCTAAAATTCGAAATTATAAGGTCGTTTTTACAATTTTAATGCTACTACTACTTAGTTTAAAGACGTACCTTCGTTTTCTGAGCGTTTTGAGGCCCTTAAAATATCCTCTTGCTTCGGACACAAACAACAGATTGGCAATGATTGTTAGTTCAACGACTTTCTGCGAAGAAATTCGATACTTGAATAAGACACTTGGGCGGTTTCCTAGAAAGACAGAAAGAGGAGCCGTAAGCTTGTTTATGAAGCAACCCAAAAATTTAAAAAATGAGTCACGCTCAGCGAACCACAAAGATGACTCCAGTTAAAATCTGCATATAAGCGAAGATTATTTCGCCGATTTTCTGCGTAGGAACTCGATACCCGAAGAAGTTTTACAGGCGATAGGTATCCTAGAAAGATAATCTAGACAAGCTTTGAGGCCGTTTACGCAGTTACCCAAACATCAGTAGAAAAATGACATTCGAGCGGTTTTTCCGAGAACGTGACTTCTAATTGTAGACGTATACTTAGAATAAAACAGACATGAGCTTGTTTGGAGGAATTGCTGTCGTTTTTTCCTGATTCGGAGAAATAAAGAAGTCAGTGTTTATTACAGAACCTCCTATTGAAGCGGTTAATCGCGCCCCCTTCTTATGAATGCTTTCATAATTTTTAACCTTGTAGTCATAAGACAAAAAACGTATTGACCGAGCTCAAGAGAGGATGAAATGTTTGTTGCCCGAGCAAAGCTAGACAAGCTTTGAGGCCGTTTACGCAGTTACCCAAACATCAGTAGAAAAATGACATTTGAGCGGTTTTTCCGAGAACGTGAATTCTAATTGTAGACGTATACTTAGAATAAAACAGACATGAGCTTGTTTAGAGGAATTGTTATCGTTTTGTCCTGATTCGGAGAAACAAAGAAGAAGTGTTTATTACAGAACCTTATATTGAAGGTGGTTAATCGCGCGCCCTTATGTATGTATGTATGTATGTATGTACGTATGTATGTATGTATGTATGTATGTATGTATGTAATCGTGTTTAATTTTTATTTCAAACACGCTTTCATAATTTTTAAAACCTAGATTGCAATCGACACTCAATTGAAAGCTGTCGCAACCGCGAAATCAAGATTCTAAATAAACTCAGAGCTTCGATCATTTATTGACGGTGATTTCGTGGAATGCAAAGAGATGGAACTAACTTAAATTACCGTCGATATTTAATACTCTGTTTAAACATAGTATTAACATAGTTGTGGTGCAACATACTGCCAAATATTATTATTCCTTAAGACAGCACGCAAACATTGTTAAAATAACCACATCATATTTTAATTGACATTTTTGCTTTTTTATATCACTGACCATAACAGGGAAATGAAATCCCCTGGCGAACACACACACATGATTTTTCTCCGCGGTGAACTGAACTTCTTTGCGTTTTTTCTACAAAGCACATGATACTACATCAGGAAACCAAACAGTAATCTAAGAATTAACCCTTTGACCCTTAAGAGTAACTGGCATCTAATTTCTCCTTACAATATCAGCCCTGAATCAAACATCAAGGTCACGAGAATAAGGGAAATGATCAATAACTAAAGAACTCTTAAATGTTTATCAAATTCTCCTTTTCAGACCCTTAAGAAATGTATAAAGAACAGTATGGAGAATATACATACTGATGCTAGGGTGTAAAGGGTTAACTAAAAGCGACCCTTGTCTCGTCACTACGCAAAAATAGTTTATCTTATGCGAATTACTTCAGAAACATTGGAAATCAATTGTAAGAATATTTTTCTAAATCAAAGACGAGAACAACAGTGTTGCAGTTTGGTTCAGGAGCACTCTGACCATGTACAAACTTTATTTGTTTGCGTACACATAAAGTGACTGACTACATCTCTAAGTCAGTAAGTTCAGAAAGAGTATAAGAGTATATTGGTTAGGCCCAGTCAGGTTACTGAAAAAACTAAACAAAACCTCATCACAGAGAAATTTTTCGGTTTTTTTTTAAACTGATTACCTCTATTACATAACTGTGAACAATCCGACTGAAAAAAATATAAACAAACGTGGTCTCATGGTGTAAAGCACAAAAACATGAAACCTAACATCGCAAAAAAGGATAGCTACAAAGAGTAACATATCTCATCAACTTTACCAAATCGTTTTAGGCATCTCTAACGTTAACTAGGCTCAACACGCTGGTATATCTCTTACGCTAGATAAAGGTTTTCTTTCCTTGTTCAAATGTGACCTTTGGGTTACATGCGGTGTTGTCGGTTTCTTTCTCTCCTCTTTGTGTAAGGATCATTTTGTAGAACAATCGAACGCTTTCAAAGAAAGAAAAGCAGACCAGAAAACCAAAAATCTGTCGAAAAGGGAAGAAAATCTTTATTACAGGTTGGGGTTTTGTGAGAAAAAAGTTTTGAATTACTTCAATCATTAAGTTTGCTCCTCAAAGGAAAACCCACCGTCCTCCTATAAGGCGGCTGTTTATGTTTTGTATGTAGATAATTTGGCTTCAAACATTGAAAACGGATTCTACTCGGCGAACCACCTACGAATCTGAGTTCTCTTCATACGCCTATTTTCCCTGTAATGATAAAAGGTCCCATGGCATAGTCGTAAACTTTTTTCTCTGTGACACATATTAAGGCTAAAAGCGGGATAGACTGCCGTTCTATATTACCAGTGCCAAGTAGAGATTAAATTTCTGAGAGTACATCAGTGTGTTGGCTATTACAAAATTCTACCTCTCAGCTTTAGCAGCTTAAAGGGAGAATTTCAATCAGATCTTAGGCTGATTTAGAAGGTTTGATTAACCGCTGCAAAGAAGGCTGTCAATGCCTCACTGTTGGTCTTTGGCAACGATGTAAGAAGTTCAGTGTCTTGTAGTTACCGCAAAAACCAAAGCGAACACAAATTACTAACAATGCGAGAATATAAACTAATATTCTCTTGCCAACAAGATGATAATAGCAACATTTTGCTCCTTTTCTTCCAAGCTGAATTGTTTACTCACGCTCCTAAGTTATTTTTTAGAAAACACTGGCTCACTTAAGCTATGCCATCTA